CCCCAAAACCCCAAAACCCCAAAACCCCATGATTGTGGATAGAAAATGATTTGAAGAGGATTTGATTATAGAAATATAAGCTGTTTGGGAAAGGTCATATTAATAGATTCCTTAATAGTCATAGTAATAGGTAGTGAATCATCTTAAAAATTAACGTAAATATATGTGTGTATATGTGAGTATAATTATGTATGTACTATATTAGATTGAGTAAGTATTAATTTAGGACACTGGTAAGTCTTAACGCATAGTGAGAAGCGTTTGAAGACTCCTCACTATTTGCGTGATTTACAATTCTTTGAGGCCGTGCTCTGTACGCTTGTTGAACTTGTTACGACCTTTGGTAGACTCGTTTAGCTGCTGGACTTAAGATTCAATCTCTATTGTATTTGATTGAACCCTAAGATGAAGTCTGTTCTTGCCTTTTCCATGGTTTTACTGGACTCTAATGATTTATCCTTATGATTAGTCATAAAGTCAGAAAGCAAGTAGTTGTAAGCACCATACGATTCCAAAAAGCTTAATCTTTGAACGGTATACTTGTAGAGACTAGAGTGGATTTGATCTATTTCTTCCTTCTTTTTAGTCTGGCTGGCAAAGCATTTTTTCAAATGCTTGGGGTAGAATATAGAACCAAGGAAGAATACCATCTCTTGCTTGAGGGCTTGAGACTGGTTTTTCAAAAGTTGTTCTGTGTACTGGTTAAGTAGTTCGACTAAGAATTAAGGCTTTCTATTTCTCTTTCTCTTAATGTAACCGGTAGTTTCATTGAAATCTGTTAAGTATTGCTTACGGATCTTCCTCAGGATTGTTTTGAAGACGATGTCGCTTCTGCCGTAGGTATTGAATGAGGAAATCTTGTGAGCTTGCTTTTTGGGAACTTCGGTCTTTGTCACTGAAAGTAGTGGAGTGCTGCTGAAGGAATCTTCATGTGACACGATTGTTCCGTTCTATGACTGTAAATAAATATCTTGAGAAGCTGTAAAACCGAGCTCTTGATACTCTTCATCATGGTCGTCCAAGTAAGTCATATTGTCATATAATGTTTCGTTTGCTCCGAGAGCTGATTGTGACTTACTAATGCAATCTTAGTTATTTATGAAGAGATCACAGAGATCTAGCTTGCTCTGAAATTCATTAGACCGTAATGCATACAATCTATCAGAGCACATTGAACCAAGGGAAAGACTCGATTTACTGTCGATCATACTGAGCTTTGAGTCATATGTAAGGGTAGAGGAGGAGTAATTGCTGTATCTAGATTTCTCGTTTGTCTAATCATCACCGCAATTCGACTGTTCTTCTCGCAGAACTTTTTCTTAGCTTATATCCGCAATGTAATTATTATAATATTAAGTGCTGATAGCATATTCCAGAAGAGTTTGGTTGAAGTCTTGCTTGAATGGTTGGAAATCATTCATTAGCGAGGATTCCTCAGCACGTTAAGATATACCTATCTTGTGATAATTTGTTGAATCTTATAAGTTCTGAGTAATGGCCGATTATTCTAAGTATTGAGTTTTCAAATTGAAATCGGCTTATATTGGGATATAGCTTTGAAGTTATTGATCAGCAAACGAGAAATCCAAATCTTATTACTTATTGAACCCTACTTAAGGAATGTTTTCAGTTGTGCTAGGTTCAGAATAGTAGGTTTGTGGTAAATTATAGTACTGGGTGTAGCCAGTTGAGTAATATTGATTGGACTCCATCGTGCTTCCTCTTTGAATCAAGATATTTAATATTAGAATTCAACTGCAAATCCAGACAATAAAATTAAATCAATGTTCGATTAGTTACTAATGTTTATTCACTCAAATGAATGGTACCTTAATAATTCATTTTTAAGAATTCAACAGTTTTCGAATACATCTCTTGGGGTTTTGGGGTTTTGGGGTTTTGGGGTTTTGGGG